TCGTATGTATTCGAAATTTGTAGCCAATTCATAACAAGTTTATTCCAAAAATCATTTAATTTAAAATTATATGCGTTCCTTTCCGTTTTGAACGCTTATGTTCAATTTAAAAAATTTCAATTCTCCAAATGATGATGATAATTTAAATAACTAAATGTATGCCTATTCATTGCACTTTTATTAATTTTAAATAATTCTATAGATATACAAATGAACTGCGTCTAATTGTAATAAAAAAAACGTCCAAAAACCTTTGTATCTGCAGTTGTAAATTTTTTTATTAGCAACTAACATATTCGATATTAAACAGATCTTCAGGTCTGAATACACAACTGAATTAGAATGTGAATACTACCACATACTAGTTTAAAAAGTTGCAACAACTAATAAATGAATACATAATGTAATTAGGCCCACCAGTGGCCGAGTGGTCTTCGTACCCTAAACACTGGGAGTTCGGTCGTAGGTTCGCGCCTCACTCGGACTGGCTGGAGTTTTCCGGGATTTCACCACGTCTGTAACGCCTGGAGAGAAGCTGGTTACCCTTAAAAACACTTTCCGAAAGTCACTATTCCTCGCGTAACGACCGTCATAAACGCATACAACTACTATTACATGACAATTACGTCATACTTCACCACGGGGCGATATAGACTACGTTCAATAGAATCTCATGCCGGAGAAGACAAAATGGAATTTTTTCGAATTCTTTCAACATCAATTCTTGCGAAACATTTTTTTAAAATTTCAATTAATTTTATTCAATTTTTAAAATATTGATACATAAATGCAATGCTTAAAAGGCGAATTTTTGCGACTCACTACAAGTTTGTTGTATTGCTGCAGACTTTTTCTTCTTTCGATATTCCTTTTAGTTTCATAAATGCCGAAAAGAAAGAATGTAAATTACTCGCAACCTGAAAAAAAGCATATAATTATGTCATAATAAATGTTACAAATACAACTAGATGAGATTTGAAAGTATTCATTTTTCTCAATTTTGCAAAAAAAACAATTTCGTATTGATATAAATTTTGCATAAATTATGCACAAACACCGAAACTTTTATATAAATTATATAAACTTCAGATAAAAATACAGGCACATCCAACAGAACGACTTCTCGTTAAAACGACTTTTGGTTTTCAATACTAAAACTTCAATACCAAAACGTGCCCTATCGTTAAGTGGGTTTATTTTATATTTTTTTCAATACATTGTTTTAACAGAACAATTTGTGGAATAAGTCTGAAATCTTATTTCAAATGCAAGATGAAAGAATCATGAAAAATAATGCAACTGATTTCAACTTTATACCCATTGAAGGGGACGATAAGCCCGTAAAGAAAGGTCAAATCCTCTATGAGATTGTCATTTCCTGATGTTGTGAGAAAGAGAGGAAGTGAGAAGCCACTTTCTTTTAAAGCCACCATACTCAACCTGCGACCCGCTGAGCTTTTGTGAGTGGCCCGGACGTGAAAGAGAGAGAAAAATAATTACGTTGACTTCTGGAAAAAATTACCACTTCTGGAAAGTACTGCCCGATCAATATAAGACTGTAAAAACTGTGTTCAAATTTTACTTACGTTGTTCGCATCAACGTATCTATGTGAAACGTCATACTCAAAAATGAAATATGCAAAGAACATATATAGAAACTGGCTTACGATTCACACCTAAATGCTGTTTTACGAGTAGCATGCAGCAGTTACAAGTCCGATTTAAATGAATTGACGGTCAGATGGCCGAGCAGTCAAGGTGGCAGCCTACCGCTCTGGGGGACCCGGAATCGGATCCGGTCGGGTCAGGGAATCCCCAGGAATTTTTTGGGAAGTGGTCCGTTCGGACATGTCGGACCCCGTCTCTCTCTACCCGGCCGAACCCATAATGGGCCTCTTAATTGGTCATTGATGGCACTAAGAGGCCCTCTTAGTGCCAGCAATGCGGAAAGAATATGAAAAAAAGATTTAAATGAAATTGTGAATAAACGTTCGTAATATCAACAGTCACACTAAATTTCTAGGTTCAGTGAGAAATTAAGTTTTTCATTATAATTGTCATGTTGCGACCCGTGTGTTATAGCTATCATGTGTATGTGGCCTGAGAGAAAAAAAGGTTGAGTATGGTGGTTTTAAAGTATTACCTGTTTGAGAATGTTTGTAAATTTTTTAAATTTATACTTATCTTCTCGGTAATTTTATCAGTGATTTACTAGTTTGGTAGCGCTCTGGCAGTGATTAGTGTTTGAACTTCTCGAGAGCAATTGACATTCTCTACTTGAGCCACGACTATATGCAACAGCGTATCCATTAAGGTTTCCCTGACAGAATCCGGAGTGCTTTTTAAAAACGTGAAGAAAACTCCGAAAAGTCTGCAGGACCAGCCTATCGGTGAGGCAAAAACCTACGAAAAGCTATTACTGATCGGAGATTTTATTCACCACTGGGTGCATGCTTTTTATAGCGTTATGTGTTTAGGAGATTGGTTTGCAAATTGTCAGATTATATAAATTATTGTATACAAAACAACTGTTTTGTTAACAACCATATTAATTATATAGTACAGTTTATCGATTAATGATTAGTAATTACTGTTTTAAGCATTTTACATGCCTAAATAATAGTTTGTTATTTATAAAAAGACATTGCCTGTTACAATTTTGCAAACTTTTTGCAGTTTTGGTTGACGTTGTAAGGCATTATCTGTTCCCTTGAAAATTATGGTAAATAGACTCTCGAGTAACGTTTTCTCACAGAATGTCTGAATTAAATGGGTTATATACGTTGCCTGTGGGGATTCGTGTATGTGAGATCGACATAAAATATATATATAATTTCATGTCCATTAATTATAAATATATAAAACTATTCAAATAGCGCTTTAAAATATTTTGCATTGTAAATATAATTCGTATTTCTATAAACAAATACAAACTTTGAAAGGAATT